CAAAAGTTAAAACTCAGATGGGAAGGTATTATGCAGGATGTTACCTCAATTATGATAATCCCATTACTGCCCCTTGTTGAAAATAAAACTTATTACTATCTAAATTTATGTAAATCACAAAATTTTTTTATTAACCCAAAATCAACCCAAACTCGTCCCAAAATTTTCGGGTCAGTCCCAGGTTGACCTTTAAAACATTCAGGTTGACACTTAACCTGCCCTAACCCGACCCGTTAGGAGCTTTATGTTTAACAATATCTACAAGTTTACTAAAATATTTTAATGGTAAAACTGTTAAATAATGTTCTTATATTTCCTAATGATGAAAAAATAATTCAAAATAACGAAGCTCAATTTTTATTTAAAAAAAAGTTTATATAAAATTAATTTTCTTTACTAATTTATACACCTCGAATTCTTCTATCAAATGAACTTTTATGTCATTATTTATAAGATTTAAATTATTTTCATAAGAATCATCAGAATTATTATTAAAACGATAATAACAATAAGGTTCATTGTTAATGCTATTATATAATGCTAAATCATAAAAATTCATACTAATTTCATGAAATTGTATTTCATCTACAGTAATGTCAACATTTTTTTTACTATGACATATTGCATTTTTAGGATTTTTGATTCTACTTAATATTGAATCATTTATTTGATTTTCATCAATCTTAAAGATAAAACTTTTGTTTGTTTTAATCCAATACATGTCATCTGGAGACTTTTTTTTTCTATTCCAACAAACAGGGTTATAACCACCAACTAAGTTTCCTATTTCTTTGATTTTCATAACGACTACCGTCTGTTCTATATCATAACTTTTTTTCTCAAAGACAGATTTAGAAAATCCGTCTCGGGTTCCATTAAGAATCAATTCAAATTCATAAGGAAAATTATTTACATTGTATAAGTTTTTTTTCCTGTGAATCCAATTGGAAATCAAACATATTTTCTTTAAATTCAATAATTTTCCTCTTGCTAATTTTGATCTTGGACCTTTTGGAAGTAATAATATTGGTTGCCAATTATCATTGAGATAATATTGTAGTAGTTCTTTATATATTTCTTTATCAAATGATTTTTTAAATGGGTTAATTTTATAATGGAAATCAGTTGAAGTAATATGGTTAAATCTTATCAGTGGAATGATGTCTTTTAATATATTTTTTAACATGACAAAATCATTTTCCTTCCACTCTGAAATATATTTTTCCAATTTCTCATTTTGTCCTATTCCCCATTGAATAACACAATTCCAAATCTCAATTTCGTTTACTTCCAAATCATTTCTTTTTAATATAGACATGAGCATAGATTTTTCAATATCATTACAATCATCAGATTTTAAAAATAGACGAGGATTGTCATAAATTAATTCGTCAAAATAATCATGAAGCAAATTGAACAATTGGTGTTTTGATGAAATTTTATGAAAGTTGACTAAATTATATTGAATCCAATTTTTTTGTTCTGCAATTAAATGATTTTGTAAGTCTTCAATTAATTCATTAAAATCCAATTCATCACATGCTTCAAGAAGTTCAAGAGTCTCTTCTGAACTCAAACTGTCTACATTCACAGCTCCATTATAAATATATCTTTTTTAAAAAAAACCACCCAAAATTAAGAAATTAATGTTAAATAAATACTTTAGATTATTAATTAACATAGTAGATTAAATCAATCTTACGTTAAAATAACTTCAAATACATTTGGAGAAATGTTTTCTTTTTCAAATAAAATTATACACTCGTCAGATTTTCTTATCCAATTATTTGACAAAGCAACTTTAAAATATGAAGACCTTGCTTTTAAAATGGTAGAATGAGCTTTAAAAGTTTTAACATCCTGCCCCACTCCAACTCTGATTTCTACATCATAAAATTCTGATTCATTTAACAATTTTGTTAAATCATTTACAAGTTTACAAATATATTTTAATGGCGAAGCATCTTTGTTGGAATTAATGAGGTTATCAAATAAATTATTTATATTTCCCAAGGATGAAAAGCTAGTTGACATCTTTTGAAGGTACTTTTTTAAAAAATAGTACGATTTAAATTGAGTTTTATATAAATGACGACATAAACATTACACAAATAGAAAACTCTTTTTTTATTTTTGAAATAGATCTATAATTTTTTACTAATCATTTATATGATATGGATTATTTTCATCAGGAAAATAAAAATAGTCATCAAAACTCAAAACTATAAATACTGATATACCGGATCTTTACTAAATTGATCGTCATTATTGTATAAAGAGTTACGCGAACATTGTTTTTATTTTTAGAATTTTTAAATTTTCTATTGTTACATTGCTATTTTTATTTATCATTTTACTATATAGTATTTAATTTCTTTATTTAGTGTTTATTTAATTATTACGCGAAGTTTTTTCTTTTAGAGATTAAATAATTGATACATCTAATTAATACGAGTAGCTAGAATCTTGGGAATAATCGAGATGTGGAACAATTAAGGCAATACTGGTTTCTTAAAAAATCGCAAGTGAGCTGCTGATTAAATCAGTCATTTAGATTTGGTGGTTTATTTTAACAATTCAGGACCGTTACACTACCGTTTATTAGAAAAATTTATATAACATGTAACTGTCCCTGTGATTTATTCGTTCGAGTTGACCGTTTGCTCTTTCCAGTTAGTATGAATATTAATTTTATATTCAGTTTAAGCCACAGCACTAAGGATTAGATTTTTAAATTTTTTCGCTTTGTTTTAATAGGGGAGAACTCTATTATATATCTCCGCCAAATCAAAATGGCCAAGCTTTTTTATAATTGTGTGAATCAATATGACAAGTGGCACTCAAGATTATCAATTAAAAATATTTTGTGCGTTTGGCATACATACCAAATAAAAAAAGAATCATTATCTACTAAGATCAAATCAGAATTCAAACCGGAGTATGAGCATGTCCCCAGAAACTAAACTACGCAGAGTTAAAAAAATCGTGTAACAGTAACATTAACACGTCAATATTTTTTATTTACTCGAGTATTTATTCCAATAAATTGTCTTTAAGGTATTAAAATATTATTGTATATATATATATATATATGTGAATAAAATTGACATTTTTGAAATTTTGGCCACAATGCGCAGTAAACGGTGGTTTAAGAGTCCCGCACCATATAAATATTATATATGCATACACAATATATAATATACACTAGCTGGACAAAAGTATTTGATCACGTATTTACATTAATTAGTTAAAAACCTACATAAAAACATCACACGAAATTTATAACATTATGCACCTAGGTTTTGATAATTATATATTCGAAATTTCACGTTGCTAGCTTTCATGCATGTATCAAATTTAATAAAAATGTTTTAATTTTTCGTTGACTGCGATTCAAATGTTATCACTATTTTTTTTTAATTATTGATTTTCTAGACATGATAGAAACACGAAATTTCATATATTTATTCTTCAAAACAATATCCCTCATTTATATAAAATTTACAATTTTTTATTATGTAAATTTTTAAAAAACGTGAAAATATAGCAAAATGTTTAAATTTTTTATTTGGATTTTAGTTTTTTTTATTAATCTATTATTAATCTTGATACTTGGAAGCTAGCGACGTGAAATTTCGAATATATAATCACCAAAACCTAGGTGCATAATGTTATAAATTTCATGTGATGTTGTTATGTAGGTTTTTTATTAATTAGTGTAAACACGTGGTCAAATACTTTTGTCCAGCTAGTGTATATAATTATGACAATAAATTATAATTACAAAGATTTAAATAGGTAATAAATCAATTTAGTTATGTTCCACTTTTACTTGCATTTAGCCGATAATGTGAATGTGGCTTCATTTCACCTACTGAAACAAAGATTTACAATTAAAGTGGGACGTTTTATTATTTTAACTAGTGTTGGTTTCCAAACTAGAGAGTTTCGCAACTGTGCAAAAGTCAAAAGATTTCGCCATAAGTCGAAACTAGTTTTGATGTTTGACTATTGACTTTTGATTTAGTTTTGGCATAAACTTTTAATTTTAGTTTTGACTTTCGCCTCTTCGAAATAGTTTTGGCGACTAACGCTAATTTTAAATTAAAAACGATTCAAAGATTCTGACTAAAATGCATGTCGATCTTTTCCATTTATCACAAATTACGAATTAAGAGTGATCTACATTTTAACCTATAAAGAAGGAACAAAATTGCTTTATCAGAATGTTTGTTTTTCACCCAGATATCAATCATCATCAGTCAGTTTTACTCAATAATTGTTGTAAGGATGAAAACCAGAAAAGGAACATTTGAAGATGAAACAGTTCAAAATGATTGTTGGAAAGTCAAGATTCTAAAATAGTAAAATCCAAATATAAAAGACCAAGAAATTAATTAATTGACACAAATAAACCAGGATTTTTTTAAAATTGATGATTTCAAATTTATTGAAAACCTATGCTACTGAAAAGAAATTAGTGTGCAGGATTCAATTGGGGAGTGGGACAACTTGAATAGAGGGAAAATATATTTTAGTATGGACAATAATGATTATTTCACCAAGTTAAAAATATTTTTATTCCATTAATCCAACTCACTGATTTTTACCAACTAATGATAGCAATCTAATTACATCAAAAAATTCCAAGACTTTAAAAAATGATTTTCAATCAGAACAACTAATTAGATGATTGTCCACCTCTATAATAGAAACTAATCCTTATATATTTTAATTAGTCCTTTATGGATCTAGAGATATTTATAGAATTTCATGAAGCTTACTGATTAATCATGAACTTATTGTTATTGTTTTAAAAACAAAGTGTATAAAATAGTAAAGAAATATAATGTATGTGGCAAATTATTTTTATCAAGATTGAATAGCAACGTGTCTATTTATTTGTATAATTTCTAAATAATTTAAATTATTCATTTATTAGATTTTTTTATTTTTTAAATAAATAAATAAAATGCATTTCATTACTGTCGTCATTGCCATCATTGGACTATATCAGTCATTGTTTCTTCTTGTTCCTTTTCTTCAGTAAATTTTTCCATTGAAACTCTTAAACGGATCTCTTTTTCTAACATTACATTCATCACTTCATCTAATTCCTCAGTTGAAAATTGAGAACGTAGTTTTCGAAATGCTATCATATACAAATCTAACAATTTTACTAATTTTTATTAATTTTTTTATAATCATCATTTCAATACTATCATTAATTAATTAAATGTTTTAGATAAAAATTTTTCATACCTTTTGACCATGGACATTCTCTTATTGCATTATAATACAAAATCTTGGCTTTACTATATTGTTCATGTTTAATTTCATAATTAATATACAAAGCCCATAACGATATTGAATTTTTTGTTCTATGTATTTATATAAAAATAATGATTAACATTTTTTTATTAATATGTATGTGCATATATATATATATATAATTTACTTTGGACATTCAAGTGCTTTATCAAATAGATTTCGAATTTT